CAGACCATTATCATGTCACACCAGAGTGCTCTTTTCTCCAGGTCACTTTGTTTAAAATGACATGGATAATGCACATGTCAGTGAGCTGACAGTTTCGACCGTCCTTCAGAGATTTTATATATATATTTTTTAAAGGAAAAGAAAAGAAAAGACAAGACAAACGCCCGTTCTTATCTGCTGTCCATGCCTTGGTCTATCATTTAAGTCAGGCAGACCGTGATTTCTCCGGGGAGCACTTTTTTCATTTCCCGATTTTAAAGAAATCAAATAAGCACCATTTGTCTTCATCTGAATATGCTTGACCTGTTCAAATGATGATGATGTGTCACTTTTTTTTCCATTTTAGAACAGGCAACGTATGGTGAATTCACAATGAGTAGGCATGGTTGTTAGATCTATGGCTCGGTCTGCCACAGCAGCGTGAGTTCAGAACGTGTATACCTTTCCCGATATGTATTCCTGTACATGTACCTCATTTAAGACAGAGCATATTCCTTTTGAAAATAAAGAGAACATATCAAATTAATTTCCAGCACCAAAGTGTTCAAGAAACAAATGACAAAGCTGACCTACCAAAAAAAAAAAGGAGATCAAGAATTTTAGAAGCATTCTGCAATCTGTCTACATATTTGGGGCATGTGGACATGTTTACATGGAGAGCACGGATCCCAAACTGACCAGGAGGCTCTGTTATTGGGGTAGAAGCAATGCTGGCTGGGAATACAGCTGCCATCATCTGGCAGCACAGCCCTTCTCTTACCCAGAATCCCCCGGTGTTGGCGTGTGCTTTTTCCTAGGTTTGTGAGCTTGGTCAATCACACTGGCTGGAAGTGCATGTTTGTGGGGAAGGTAGGAGTGGTTTCCAGGTGGATGAAAATAAAGAGGTTTCTTGCTCTAGCCCAGATGAGGAGGCTGTGAGACATTACACAGTGACAGGCAGCCAGGCTTCTTCAGGCCTCCCACCGTCACCTCATGTGGGTACCATTAGACAACAGTTGTGTTCCTCTCTACTACTGTCATAGCTTTGTTGGAGGTGGCTTTGAAGCAAGATGACAGATCCAGGTGAAAGGAGAGGGAGGCACTGGCTAAGGGTCTCTTTTCCAGGTGATTCCACCTTCATGAGGAAAGAGGTGGAGAAACCTTGTGACTACCCAGCTTGTGGGGGGGGCATTGTGCACTTTCTGCTCCCTGGTGGGAAACTAGACTACACATGGTGGCATATGCCCACCTGGTTCACTCCAATCCTGTCACCATGGTTGCCATCCGTCAGCATATGGCAAACATTATAGAAAGCAAAATGCAAGAGAACCTGGATAGGCTGTAGGACAAATTTCAAGATTCATGTTGTGATGATACCTGTAGTACCTTTGTAACAGATCTAATAGGCTTGTGTAAAAAAAGGCACAGATTTTTCCCCTCTGGAGGCTCCTGAGATAAGAATTAAAGCCATGTTCTCTGCATGATGTCTCAGTGACAATTGACTAGGAAGAAGCTGCAGACATCCTTCAGGTCTAATGTTTCACTCCAGGTGAAATGGTAACTAGGCTTTCCGAGGACAAGCAATTATAGAAAGTGAAAGAGATTTATTTGCATCTACCATTGAATGAGGCGTCAGTTTTAGAACGGAGAAGATGATTTCCGAAATGATGCTAATCCTAGCTGTTTGTTAACTAGAGCCATGTTTGCAAGCTCTATCAGCCTCTTCTAAAGGAGGGAGATACAACATAGGCAGCCATTTCCCTAAGGGGTAAGTAACAAGCAATGGGTTCAAGCCTTCAGTTAGCATTAATGAACACCTTCTGTCTGTCCTGCTCCCAGGCAGGCTGCTCCCAAGGGTTCAGATCTCAGCAGGCTTAGACAAAATAGACAAATTGGGATCAAAAAGCAAAGCAGAGTCCTTCCAGAAAGACAGAGCCACCAGGTGAAGGAGGCCCAAAACCAGTGTCCAAGAGCAATCTATGGTCAAGCAGACCAGTAACCACAGCTATCAAAAAGGGAGGCCAAGGAGCATAGCCAAGGCTGTCCAAACATCATACAGTGAGTCAACATAAAGGGGTCAGGATAACACACTAGGAGAGTCCTGCAGATAACAGATCTTCTTTCCAACAAACTCACAGTCCTGAGCCATTTGGTGGAAGGGCTCAGTTGCAGTCTTTGGCCCACCAGTCATCCCAGGAGGAAAAGGTCCCTGACAAGGAGACCCCCTTAGTCTTGAGGAACTCTCTTCTCCCAAGGAGCCTTTCTCTGAAGCTAAGCACTTCAACCCAGAGCTTCTGTGTGAGTTCATGTTTCCGCTCTGCAGTGTTCTTAAAGGCATCCTCTTCTGACACAGACACAAAAAGCCATTGTTATCTGGGAGCTGAGTCTCAACCTCTGAGGTTCCTTCCTCAGCCATTTGGATTTAGGAGGCTGGATTAAAGAGTTCTTCACTAGGGGACTCTTCCAATAGGATCGTCAATAATAGGTTTTAGGGAAATTATAGGGCAGGAAAAATTAAATATAGAGTTTGACTGGGAAATACGGAGAATGCAGGAATTTGGCTTTCAAACTCTCGTATACTGCCCAAATATGGTATTGAGGAAGTTACTCCAAGGGGGGGTCACTTCCCCATTTAGGGGCTGCCTCACCTAACAGCTACCTCAACATGTAGGTGTCCTGGCTGTTAGATATCTCATACACAAGAGAATCTGACTCTTTGAAGATCCATGTTCCCGAGACAGCTAAAATTCTGCGTCATGGTGTTTTGACTAAGTCTAAACATCAAAAGTATTTAAACAGAGACCTCTACCATGTTTACGGAATATCTCTGAAAGGAAGAGATCATCTCCCAGAGATCATCTCAAAGGAGGGCATCTCCAAAACACACAGCTACCTGCTTTTTACAAACAGGGGGAACGCCTCTGCTGGGAAAATATTGGGTGGGAAATAAAACGTCTCTGGTGGGAAAATATTGGGTGAGAAATATCTCATGTGATGTGTTTCATTTATAAATGCTCTTGCTTTCATTTTGATAGAATTGTTTAATAACAATTGTATTACAATAGGGTTTGTTTTTAAGTGACTGAATAAGAGTTATCTAAGAAAATGGCCTCTTACTATAGAGAACTTGTTTGCTTTGTATTCTGAATCATTGAGGTTCACCTATACGATGGCTAAACAGAAGCTCGTATTTTAATAGAACCAAAGTTTTTTTCCTAACACAGAAGTATTATTTACACATATGGCTGTGATTTTGAAAGTATGTCATTTTTACATATATTTCAAGTATATTACATAAATTCCAAATATATTTTGTATTTTTGGCTTTTAGTTATTCAGTTGCTTGCTAAAGAAATATTTTAGAAGAAGAAGAGGATTCATTTTTGAATACTTAGGACAAAATTATTACAAGGTATTCAGGAATGAAGATTTAAAACAAATATAACAAGGTACAATATCTCCTGAGCCCATGAATAAAATCCTTGTCAGATGCATGAAGGACACAAATCTACTGGTCATCCATAATGATCAGGAACTTTATAGGAGACATTCAGACTTACCCCCGTGGTTGGTCATCCATAAGGAGCCTTTTGATCAGGAACTTTATAGGAGACATTCAGACTTACCCCCGTGGAAATTGACTGAAACAAGAAACTATTCCTAGCCAAGCAGAGTGTTTCTCCAAGATGCAAGCCTTTCGGCACACCTGTTATTTCAACAGTTCCTAACCAAATTTACCTTTCTTTATTGCCTTCTACCTGATCCTATTGCATTACCATGTTCCAAGCTGGGTAGTGCAAGATCAAATAATGTATATTATAATAACAGGTATGTCTTGTAGGGAGGGGCCTGGCGGTGAAGATACTGGATAACTGTCACTGTGATAATATTTTATCATGTGAGAGTTGGAAGTCATCTGACAGGCAGAATCCAACAAACCAAAAACACTAAAGGAGACTCTAGTACTGGATAACTGTCATTGTGATAATATTTTATCATGTGAGAGTTGGAAGTCATCTGATAGGCAGAATCCAACAAAGAAGAAAATTTTATACTAACAAATATTGTTACAGGCAGAATCCAACAAACCAAAAACACTAAAGGAGACTCTATACTACACAGACAACTGCTGATCAACAAAGAAGCTCTGGTCATAGACTGAGGACAAGGTTGTGAGATAACACATCACTTCAAATTGCAAGAAAATTTTATACTAACAAATATTGTTATACAAGGTAATTACTATTTCAGCAATACAACGTGGCCTGATACATTTAGTGTTATATTGCCCTTATCTGAATTGCACTGCTCTTATTGGAACCGGCTGACCGGTGAAGTCTAATGGCTTAGAGAGATTTGTTGTTGATGAGGTGATCTCACACAGTTTATTATTCATATCATGTGCAACTAGAATATAAAATAAGTTCTGTTGTATCTTGAAAATAAATAGGTAAGGAGATCAAATGCTGCAACGGAAGACTTTTCTAGCCCTTCTTTCTGGTAAGTAAGACAAAAATATTTCTCAAAAGCACCAAGTTGCTGCTTAAAAACAGCAGTGATTAATGGTTATGGGTTTTGCAACAATGAGGGCACTATCAGGATCTGAATCTGGGTTACTGCATGATCCCCACTCCTCCAGAACACCATGACTTTCCCAGTAATGCGAGACTGCCTTACAGGCTCGCTTTTCCCAGGGAGTAAGATATATAGAAGCATTCTTACTTTGACTCTTAGAGGACCTTGCGAGGAAACCAAGCAAAGAGGCAGAAGCATTATCAATTCAGAACTGCATGAGGCCCTTTGAACGAGAGGGTTAACAATCCAGTAGGGCATGACAAAGGACTAATCTGTGCCTTGAACCACAGAATGTGTGAAACATTTGACAATGGCGTGATGAATTTTGCACATAAACATAATGCAGCAGCCAGGTTAAAAATCAATATATTTTTCTCATTAAAGAGAACCAAGTGACCAGACCTTGAATCATTCAGAAACAACTAGACAGCGACAGGAATCACATACTAAAAGTGCACCCCTACCTTCTCTTCTCGATCACTGTCACTGTCACACTGTAATAGAAAAGAAAGTATTGATTAAAAAATTAGAAATACACCCCAAAGCAAATGTATGCATATAAAGCATTATGTATTAGCAAGGCCTCATCAGTGAATTCCACAAGGACATACAGTACTTTCGAACCTGATTAAAAATGAATAAAGACTAATGATTTAGTACCAACATTTGAGGTGATCTGGTCCAAGTTCTCACCTAGTGTTTCTCTCACTTTAAGCTCAACTGGCCATGATTACTCAATAGAAGAAGAATAAGCTTCAGAGCCTGGGGATGATGGGAACTGCAATCTAGAACATCTGGAGGCCAACCGAATGAAGAAGGATGGGGCCAACGTAATAAGTTAAGGATGTGTTCCTATAGTTTTCTAATGAATAATATGTGTTTATTGAACTGAGAGGAACTGACGTCTGATCAGATACATGTAAGACTGGACTGTTAAAGTTGAAGGTAAGTAAATGGGCCCCTCTGATATAAAACAATTGTAAGGCAGATCATTTATTTCTGCAAACAGTAAGTAGCCAAAAAGATATGAAAGATTATCTCTTGGATGGTACTTTTTCATTTAAAATGCGTAATATTAAAATCAAAGTTAAGTTCTTGCCCAACTGATCATTTGATTTATATTTTAATTATTCAGACATGTCGTTTTAATCCATTGGTAAACTTATGCAAGCAATTAACCCAACCACTAGATTGTTTGTACACAGAAACTTTCCTAAGTAACTCAGCTAAAGAAAACACTAGAAAATTAGAAATGTAGAACCTTTTCTGGCTGCAAGGTTGAACCTGAAAGATGATCTCTCAGGGCATGGTACCCCTGTTAGTTTTCTGTGCCACCTTTTCTGAGTTATAGTATGGCACTGGGGACCAACTGATGCCACTTACAAACATAGACCCCTTCTATTGGAAGCATGTGTAATAGAATTGTTAAAATGGTACAATTTTTAATAAATCAATGTGTTCAGTTTAGTCATTGTTGTCAAATTGGTTGAGCTGGGCTTCCTATGGCAGTGAGAAAATATAAGCCACCTGTCCGTCAGTGTATGGGACCTTACATGTAAAATGGTGCATAGCCAGTCTTTTGTCCAACTGGTTGGAAAAGGATAAATTATAATGGGGTTGTCAGTCTGGTGGTTTCCCCAAATTCCTAACCGGCATGGCCAAGAATCATGGACAACACAAACTGAATCCTCAATGGTGCTCCCAAACAACACATTGTTTGTTTCTATGGCATCTCAGATAAGAATTTCAATCATATGGTAATCATATGGCAGCTCTGATAAGAAATTCAAAAATGAAATATAAAAGTGCATGGTTTACAGCTTCCAAGATAAAGATGAAATAGAAATGCTTCTCAACAGAGCTACTTAAAAGCATTTATCCAACTCCTTGTCTGTAACAGTTGCTACAAAAACATATGTGTATCTATTAATTTCCAATCGTCAGCAGGAAACTGCAATATACAGCTAAAATGTGTATGGGAAGTGTACACAAATATGATTCAACACATGTGTACACACACACACGCACACAAAAGTATCTTAAACTGCACAGAAGTGTCTATATTATAGACATATTTCTGTGCAGGAAGTAAAAGGTCTACAACCCCAATATGGAATTTGGACAAGAGGGAGATGCTGTTGGGAGTCCCAGGAAAGAGAACAAAATAAAAATAAATCTGACACATTTTCAAGGACTCCTGTTTTACATGAATACAAGAGATGTGTGTGTGTTCTGTGCCATCACATTGGAAATGAGGTATACAGCAACCTTAACAGAGTTTTCAAGGTAAGTAAGAGATTTAAGAGTATACAGCAACCTTAACAGGGTTTTCAAGGTAAGGAGTGGTTTTACCAGTTCCACTCTCTGATTGAGTTTCCATGGCCGAGCGGGGATTCGACCCCTGTTCTCCAGAATTCTGGTCCGTCATTCTATCTGCGAGACCACATTGGCAATCTGAACACAACAGATACTGATATACAGCTCTCAAAAACAAACCAGGCACTTTCCAGTGAAGACGATGGGGTTAGATCCTGCCAAGTACCAAAATTGAATCTCGAATCCTTTGCAAAGCACATACTGATGGGGTTAGATCCTGCAGGCACCAAAATTGAATCTGGGATCCTTTGCAAAGCACATACTGATCTTAAGAAGCTTTATGCCAGTCACATAAAATTCATGCATCCTTCCATTGCAATTTAGATGTCTATACATATTTTGGTATAAGTTTGTATGCCATAAAGGATAGTCTTACTTCAGGGGAAAGGACCTATATGCATTTCCCTCACTTCTGCCTGTTTGCTACCCACCCACCCCCGTAACTCATTACATCTCACTGTGAAGCTAATCAACACCGTCTGAATTTGCCAGTAGAATGTTTTTCTGCACTGCGGTGGCATTGCAGAGTGCGCTAGCAGCCACGCGGTCCCCAGGAACCATCAGTTGCATTGCCAATGTATTATGCCTTCCTGCCTTTTCTGACAGTCCAGTTCTAATTTCAAGGTCCACTTAATTTCTCCATCAAATCATTACTGCTATACCCACAAGCATCTCATCTCCAGAACTAAGCATATGGCAAAGGACTGAGTCGGACTGGTATCCATTATGAAATCAGAACAGGTGCCAAAGTGATGTGGATATGTGACAGATTTGTGTGTGTGTGTGTGTGTGTGTGTGCTGTGCCATCAAGTCAGAACCAATGTATAGTGACGCTATAGGGCTTTCAGAGAGAGTGGTGGTGGTGGTGGGGCCATCCAGCATCTTTTTCTGCCTACTGATCGACAGCTTTGTAATTTGGTCAAAAACAGCATTTGCCAATGGGAGGGCAACTAAGCAACTGCACATGTTGCCTTGGTTTGAAAACAGGTTCTCTCTGTGGCATTAAATTCCCCCACTGACCCAAGGACCCCGCAGACTTCTCCATAAGATTGGGCATCCAATTTACAGCTCTGCTCTTTAGAGCCTGCTGTGCCAACGTCTGGCAGAAACAAATGCCAGGCAGAGACCCTCCAGCTCATAAATTACGGAAAGACAATAAATGCACTCACATCCTTAGTTTATGGAATCTACTGCAAGAACAGTATGGCTGGTGAACGGCCTCAAAGGGGAGTTGGACGAAATTTCTCACAACAGCTGATTAGATCAGCAATGAGAGATGCCCAGCAGGCATCTGAACTGAGCAATGATAAGGTCCCAGTCTCTGGGCTCCTGGAGGGTCACATCTCCTTGTTGTCTCATTGTTTGGTGGTTCCACAGCATTTTAATACAGTTTTTTTTCCCATTCTGAAAGGTTGAGATGTCTCTCTTAAGACTTTGTTTCTAGCAAAATGCAGTTCAAGCCTATGTCCCCTCATTTTGCCTTTGGCACCACTCACCACAATAGCATGGCCTTCAGGAATTTCTATACCATTGAATCCCACCTGCAAGCTGAAAAAGATTCCCAGTCCTTAATCGACAGCAATGTGGGGCATGGGTTACATGTGGTATGGGAGCCCTAGTCCTCCTTATTTCCTAAGCCAGTAGTTTCCAGATGTTCTTGAACTACAACTCCCCAAAATCCAGGCCAGCACAGCTAGTGGTGAAAGATACCGGAAGTCTTTACTCTAAGAACGTCTGGGAACCCAAGCTTGAAAAGTACTGCCCTAAGCCCTAACATTCTTCACTGAGATGTCCTGTGATGCCAAAACCAACCAACCAACCAACCAACCAACCAACCAACCAACCAACCAATCACCAAAATTGTTTCTATCCTCATATATATGTGTGTTATGTGCATTTAAATCAGAACTGACTTATAATAAGAGAGCTTTCAAGGTACATGACTGAAATAAAGGATAGACATGTGGTCCAAACAAAATAAAATACAAATGCAAGGTAAATGAGATGTTTAAGGAGTGGTTCTACCAGTGCCACCCATACCCCAGTGGGTTTCCATGGCTGAGTGGGGATTTGAACCCAGGCCCCCAGGGTCATAGCCCATCACTATAATCGGCCACACCACACTGTGGAAAAGAACCACATTTTCATATTTCAGATCCAATTGTCATTCAGAACTGAATGATGTCCACAGCAGAGGGTGGAATTTTTAACACATCTCCTTAAAAAAAGAGACACTATTTTTTTTCTGGACTATATGAAATACTGTCAATGGTCATCCATAACACCACCTGTAGGACAACATCAACTCTTGATATCAGCTGAGTGGAACTGCAAATTGAAGAAAACATCTGTTTACCTTCACCAAATAAAACCACTAATTTGGCTTTACACTGCCCAGAGTGGAATATAAATAAAATAAATAAATTGACTTTAGTTAGCTGCTAGAGGTGGGGCTTAAGGCTGTGTGCCTCAGGGTTTGGATGCCAATACCAAATTCGAACACAAAGCTTCTGATAGAGGCCTCTAGGTCCTTTGGTTGCCCAAGCCCCACAGTCAAAAAGGAAATTTATGTTTCAAAAACAGGCAATATGAGGGCAATATGTGTACGTGTGAGACAATTACAGAATAACTGGCAAACCTTTGTCTGAAAAGCTGGGTGGAAAATTCCAATCGTGGTGCCAGAGGTGAGGCTTAAGGCTGTGCGCCCCAGGGATTAGATGCCAACACTCGAACCCATCTCAAGTGGATATGGTCCACGAACAGCTGCCATGAACTCTTGACTCTTACAGTTTTGTGTTTTTTGCACTATCCGTAAAATATTGGTACAAAAGCCCGAACAAGTGGAATTTTATCAATGAAACATGCTGTTTGTTCGATTTATTAGAAGTCTCATAAAAGTATCGCCTGCTTGTGCATTTGTCTAAAAAGGGGAATCTGAAGGGTTTATAGGATATAAATACTCACAGGCATAAACTGCAGACCCTAACAATATCCTCAGTGCCTATCTGCCAATGACTGGCTGATGTTTTAGAGAAATGGCTTCAAGGCTTCCAACCGCAGGAGCATGGCCAGACCAATTAGACAAGAAGGTTGACTGGTCCATTTTAGAACCTGTGCT